TTACCTGGATTTATCTTCTTAAACATAAGTCTGATGTGTTCGATGTTTTTCTTAAATTCCAAGCACATGTTGAGCGTCTCCTACACCACAAAATTATTCATGTACAATCGGATTGGGGGGGGGGGTGAATACCGCAATCTAAATACATTCTTCGAGAAACTTGGGATTTCGCATCGTGTGTCTTGTCCTCATACACATCAGCAGAATGGTTCAGCTGAACGTAAGTACCGTTATCTTGTTGAGACCGGCTTAACCTTACTAGCCCATGCCTCTGTTCCTTTTCGTTTTTGGAGTGATGCTTTCACTACTGCCTGTTTTCTCATAAACAGACTTCCATCGCGACTCCTTGGCATGAAAACTCCGCTTGAACTCTTGCTTCATGAGACTCCTGATTATACCTTTCTCAAAGTCTTCGGTTGTGCGTGTTGGCCGCATCTCCGTCCTTACAATAAACATAAGCTTGAGTTTCGTTCTAAAAAATGTGTCTTCCTTGGGTATAGTCCGTTGCACAAAGGTTATAAATGCCTTCATGTTCTAACAAATCGTGTGTATATTTCATGTGATGTTGTCTTTGATGAGCATGTTTTTCCTTTTTCTAATCTTCCAACTCCTGTCACCACACCTAATGAACCCGTGCATTCATCTCCTCTATTGCCTGATCAATTTGTAGATGCTGCACACTCGCCTCTTTTGTTGTCTAACCATGGTGCATGAACTGGTAGAGGTGCTCGGCTTGTTCTCCTGGAGGATTCCTCCGCTGCTCCCACGGCCTCTCCGACGGATCGCGTCGATCATGCCGTTGCGGCCTCTTGCATGGGGCATGCAGGGTCTCCTGCACCTGCGCCCGCCATGCGCTTGGGTCCGGCTCCGGTAGCAGCGGGTTCGCGCTCGACGGATCATGTTGCTCCCGCGCCTTCTTCCCCCTGCATGGGCCATGCAGGGTCGGGTGCGCTCACGCCCGCTATGCGTTCGGCCCCGGCTCGGCTGGAGCTGGACCTCCCCGCGTCGCCTGTTTTCGCCTCGCCCGTGACCGGGCCGGTCTCACCTGCATCGCCCGATCTGCGCCTACTGGCTCGCCTCCTGGCAGCCCGTCATCGTCGCGGTCACCATCACCCGCCATGTCTTCTTCTCAGGAGATGCAGGCCTCTCCACCGACGGTTCCTGTGACTTTGATCGCGCCAACTTCTCCGGTTGCTCAGCGATCACACACTCGCAGCAAGAGTGGTATTTTTCGACCGCTCCAACGCACCGATGGCACGGTTGCCTGGCTCGCGGCCTGTATGGCTCATTTTGCAACTGATCCTTCTGCTGAACCCCGTCACTATCAAGCAGCTCTGGGTATTCCTCACTGGCGATCTGCAATGGAACAAGAGTATCAGGCATTGCTCAAAAATGGTACGTGGCGTCTTGTTCCTCCGCACAGTGGTGTCAATATTATTGATTCTAAGTGGGTATTCAAAGTTAAGCGACATGCGGATGGTTCTATTGAACGGTATAGGGCTCGGTTTGTTGCTCGTGGGTTCAAACAACGTCAAGGTCTTGATTATGATGATACCTTCAGTCGTGTGATCAAGCCTACGACTATTCGTCTGCTCTTGTCTCTTGCGGTTACTCGTGGGTGGTCTCTTCGACAGCTTGATGTTCAGAATGCTTTTCTGCATGGTGTTCTTGATGAAGAGGTCTATATGCGTCAGCCGCCTGGTTTTGTTGATCCTGCTCGTCCGCGCCATTTGTGTCGCTTGGTGAAGGCTCTTTATGGTCTTAAACAGGCACCACGTGCTTGGCATGCGCGCCTAGCTTCTGCTCTCCATGCACATGGATTTGTTCCGTCGACAGCTGATACATCCTTGTTCATGCTACAGCGTCCTATGGTCACTATGTACATGTTGGTGTATGTTGATGACATCATATTGATCAGCTCGTCGGCTCTTGCTGTGGATCGTCTTGTTTCTGCTTTGAGTGGTGATTTTGCCATCACAGATCTTGGTCGGATTCATTACTTCCTCGGCTTGGAGGTCTCTCATTCTGATGCCGGTCTGACTCTCACTCGGCAGAAGTACTCTCTGGATTTGCTTCGTCGTGCTGGTATGCTTCAGTGTAAGCTTGCTACCACTCCCATGTCAGCTTCTGATAGACTCTCTGCACTTGATGGTATCCTTCTTCCTTCGGATGAGGCTACAACGTATCGCAGTATTGTTGGCGGCTTACAGTATTTGACGATCACTCGTCCTGATATATCTTATGCGGTGAACAGCGTGTGCCAGTTTCTTCATGCTCCTCGGGATACTCACTGGACTGCTGTGAAGCGCATTCTGCGCTATGTTCGCTTGACTGCTGCTCTAGGCCTTCATCTTCAGTCTGCTCCTTCCGGTGCCCTCTCTGCATTTTCTGATGCAGATTGGGCTGGTAGCCCCGATGACAGGCGATCCACGGGGGGATATGCAGTGTTCTATGGTCCTAATTTGATCGCCTGGAGTGCTCGTAAACAAGCTACAGTGTCTCGTGGTAGTACTGAAGCGGAATACAAAGCAGTTGCCAATGCCACCGCTGAACTTATCTGGGTTCAGTCCTTGCTTCGAGAGTTGAGAGTCTCTCAGCATCATCCACCTGTTCTTTGGTGTGACAACATCGGCGCTACGTACCTTTCTTCAAATCCGGTATTTCATGCCCGAACGAAACACATCGAAGTTGACTATCACTTTGTCAGAGAACGAGTTTCACAGAGGTTGCTTCAGATCAAGTTCATTCCATCAAAGGATCAACTTGCTGACATATTCACGAAGCCGTTGCCACTACCTCAGTTTGAGGGATGTCGTCGCAATCTTAATCTTCTGAATTCTTCAGATCACGGTTAAGATTGAGGGAGGGTGTTAGACTTGTACGTATTGTAATCTCTGTACAATGTATTTGTACCCGATGAGGTACCCCCTTGTTATATATATGTTATCGTGGCCGACCCTCTCAGGTGTCGAAGCCCATAACCCCAAAACCCTTTGTCTATCAGGGCTATCCCCTACCACCGCCGCTTTGTGTTTGAGCTCAATGGGAGAATAGTTTGTACCTTTGAAGAGCGGTTTGGTGAACTTCATGCTTGGGAAGGGTATCCTTTCAATGTTAAGAAGCCTATCTCCCAGTCTATCTGGGATCAACTTGGAAAAGAAGTTGTTCACAGAGTATCCAAAAGTGTTGTCTCAATTGCTTCATACAAGCGATGAATGACGAGGATATGGTTAGGTTTTTTGCTTGCACGGGCCTGCTTATAACTAGAGGGGGCGCGGGTTCGTCCTTACTTCGGCCAATTTGGTTAGAACCAGTGACGTTGAAGGGGACATTGATCTGAACTTGGAGATTCAGGTGTTTCTCCCGCCAGAACAACGTGTGGAGAGGACATTGGAACTGTGCCATCAAGATTACCACATTGCCGTTATCAGTCTCAAGGATGATCTCACCGACGTTTGTCCACTAGATATCTTCGAGGTCATAGCTCCATCTAAATCTAAGGAGGTAGCTGCTATCGGGCGTAGGACTAGAGAAATGAATGGGTTTTTAATGGCCTCAAGGGGTAACTTGAAGTACAGAAGAAAATGTGCCAAAAGAAAGAGGTCTCAAACAAACAAGAATAGGGGTTTGATACTTGGTTGCAAAGACCTCAGGCCGTCCTCTTGTCGAATCCAGATGGTTGGCATTTGAGGGCCCCTTATTCGCATTGAAGATGGGAGTTTCATCGGCATGAACTTCTATGATGAAAGTGGGACAACTCCTTATCTGACAAGGAGCAATATAGCAGAAGTTTTGAGGAGAGGATTTACTGTTCTGGACACAGGATTGGACAATGGTCCCATTATCCTAGACAGGGACAAAAAGGGTAATGCTGCGAAGAGGAACCGGTGGCCAGTGCCCAAGCCATATCTGCTCTTGGAGTGCATCACATACAATATTAGTTTTGTCCCTTGCAAACAAATATTTAAGTTAAGAGGTAAGTGCAATATGTTTATGGTTTGTAACAAATGCTTTATGTATCATATTTGTTTATGTCTATCCCTATCAACTATCTAAGGACTATCTTATGGTTGAGGGTTTAACATGTATTTTCTTTGATACAAAAGAAGTAGGTCCTCGACACATCCAAAGTGATGCTAAATTCGCTAAAAAATGTGATGCTAGTTTTTTTTTCTTTTGATGGAACAATTGTGATGTCCCATAAGGTAAAACCTAACATAACAAGATAAACATAATAATGATTTAAAAGAAGATGGCCAAACATGAAGCCTTCTGCCCATACAAAAGGATCGAAACTTTCACTACTCACCATTGAAACACTTGCAATAATTGGTCATCACTCCCTCCATTTCAAAATATTTGAAGCTCTAGTTTTGTCCTGAATTAAACTTTTTTAGGTTTGACCAAGCCTACGGGGAACATATACAACATAATGGGTGTTAGTAAAAAAATTATATAGATTTGCTCAAACATACGGAAGTTTGACTTAGGACACCTACAACTTCAAATATTTTGGAACAGAGAAAGTACAAGATAAAAAGGAAACTAGATTTTGTATGTGACAGTTGCAAAAAAGACATACATAGACTGATAGTGTATGAATACAGAAAAAACGGTTATTTACTTCCCCTGTATTTATTTATTTTAGATCGAATTTAACCTGCATTTTTCTGGCAAAGTAGCCCAAACAACAGGTCAATAGATATACAGTAATAAACATAAAATAAAACCAAGTTCAGTCACAGGTTCACACATTAACAACAGGAGTACGAACTATTTGCACATATGTAGCACAACAGGAACAGAAAGGATGCTTCTCCAGGGACTAACCCCCATTATATTACAACCAGAACAGGACGGGGACTTTCGCTTGCAAAACACAGAACGATTGTTTCCCACAAAGTGCTGCTAGCTCTTTTGACAGGGTACAACATCAGGTCACCATGTGCCCTTCAGCTGCTTTCTACGGTTGTTTCGATACGGTCGCCGGCAGAGATGGCTCACATCGCATACACGATCTCTCCACTGCTGTCGATATCAAGATCTGAGTCTGATTCAAGGTCATCCATGTCATCATCCATGTCGAATCCATCAGTTAGGATGTGGTTTATACGAGAACAAGCAGGTGGTATGGTGGCCTCCGTTAGAATTTGCATGATCTCATCCATCGTCTGCATTCGCTGCTCAGGCTCCTCGTATTGGCTGCTCATGCTATCATCATCCATCAAATCAGCGGGAAGGTTCTTTAAGAACCAGTTATGGCTCCGTATTTCAGGGATGGTTATCCTCTGCATTTATCATCACCAGCAGTGTCATGAAAATGATACACATAAATACAATGGAATGCAAATAAGGTATCACTGCATTAGACACGAGTATGCCTAAGTACACAGAAAGGATAATGTAAGTGGTGGCAATGTAGACTGCAGAGATGATCCCCATATCAAAACCGTCCTACTGAAATGCACTACTTTTTGTTGAACTGATGGCTGCACACTAGATCTTCCAAAGGAGATATATTATACTCCCTCCGTCCCATAATATAAGAGCGTTTTTCACACCACACTAGTGTCAAAAACGCTCTTATATTATGGGATGGAGGGAATACCAAACAGTTACATCGGTAGCCTAAAATTAGTAAAATAATATTACTAATGATGACAAAGGAGATATACTGTGCCAAACAGTTATATATAGGTCAGCAAGCGGAACAATGATGACAAACACAGTGCAATGACACAAGTATAATTACTAAAACACAGACACAAACAGCCTAGCTTGGTCTTGTAAAAAACACATGCACATTGCCACATATAAGCCCAGCGGCAGTTGAAGAACCTAAGAGGTGTAATTCACTACTGTATGGTAAAACCTCAAGCTGCCCTGACCCCCTAATGGGGACTCTGCAAAAAGGCAGTTATCCCTCACTGGTTATACTTTGATTGTCAGGTTAAGTTTTGAGCAAAACATGAAGAAAATGTAAAGAGGCACGGTACACGTAAGTCATAATACAGGATATGATAGCTAAGCTAGTTTCTAGAATTGAACATCAAAAGACTCACCAACGCAGGATCCCCAACAAAAATCCTCGAAATTAGGTGCCTGCACTCTGGAGATATGTCCACGTTATCTGGAATTGAATACTGAACACTCAAGATACGCTGCAAAGGTGATGTCATAGTATTAGTTTTTAGTTTAAAAGGCCTAAATCATGACAAAGGAAAGAAGAGAAATAAGATAACCTGAATTGTCTTCCGAAAGTTTTTAGGTTCTTCTGGATCCTCAAAAGGATATGCACCGACTACCATGACATAAAGAGTCACACCACAGGACCATACATCAGCAATCTGTTTTAGTCATGTACAAATAGTAAGTCAGTATGAGCAAGGGTGGGTTCCTTGTCTTGGGAGGTAACAAGTCAATGAACATCAGTGATCTGACATCCTGGTTGGGTCAAATAAGAGTGGGCTATTTAAAAGCCAAATTTTCCTCTGTAAATTGCTCTGATCTCTGATAAATGTGCGCCTATCTAACTGAGTTTGCATGTTTTCAAATGTAAGTACTTATGAGGATACTATTTCGAAATGTGAGGGAAGATGTAACACTCACCAATGCTACCAGGTTCCCCAGAAAGTCAGAAAACCAATCACAGGCAGCTAATTTCCAATGACTCCCGACCAGGCATTAAGGTTCCTCTCCAGTGTTTAGGTCAAACTGATTGCCATTAGTAACCAGTAATGACCAGTGAACACTGGGCGGTAACAAGCCTTGTACTGAATTTACAAACACTTAAAATGTATAACATTTCTACGATTTCATCAGACACATAAAAGGGCATACCAGGATGAGATCATAATAAACACATCTAACAATGGTCCCAGAAAAATGGACCAGCATATCAAGTGCAACAGGGGAAACATCACTGGGAAGCTAGGCCATTTTCCTTCAAAACCAAGGAATGATTTCATCACACTACACTCTGTACAATAGCCTGTGACAAGTACATGTGTAGTACCATCTTGACTAAAGGGACACATATTCTTAGCCTAACGGTGCACATACAAGGGTTCAGCCTTCAATATACAGTATACAGAAATTCAGATTAGGAGACCAAACAACTAGACCTGTTGCCAGTTTACGTCTCTCAAACTAAGTTGCATATGCGGTGAACTATACTACACCCCTCCGAAGATTAACAGAGCTCGAGAACTTGCATACCTTGCCATCATATTCTTTCTTCAACAGAACTTCAGGTGCAATATAAGCAGGTGTTCCAACAGTTGATTTTGGTTGTGAATGGAGAACTGAAGACTGCAGAAAATGAAGAATGTTTGTCATGGTTTATCAGAAAGAACCTATGAACACAACAGGCCCATAGGGTAAAATATTGATCCCGCTGTTCTAAACGCAACGCCAGGAAACCATAAAATTTCTATCTAACTGCATGAACATTGACTTAAATATCTTGTGAATCATTTTGAAAACACCCATATGCAATGTATTTTACAAAAATTATCTAGAATAACGAGTTCAATTATGTAAGCACCTTAGAATAGCCGAAATCACATATCTTCAAGCGAGGAGCAGGACTACCGTCCAGCAATGTGTTCTCCAGCTTCAAGTCACGGTGACATACTTGCTTGAAGATAAGAAATTAAGAATAAAATGGAACAGTTTAGCATACTGCAACATATGAACACATAGTAACAATAGGTGAAAGATAGGTTGTGTAAATAACCGATACCATCGAATGGCAGTAGCTGACTCCAGATATAAGCTGCTGGAAGAAGTAGCGAGCCTAAAAAAGGACATATGCACTTAGTCCCACCAATGATTCAAGCAAATATATGCATGTCAAGAAAAAAGATGCAGCAGAGTAACCAGAGAGCAGATACATACCTCATCTTCACTGAATCGTATATTTTTACATATTCTCTCAAAAAGCTCACCACCAGATGCATATTCCATGACAATAGCAAGATGGGTCGGTGTTAAAATAACCTACAAATACATGACGCACAAGTTATTTTCGCTATTTTTTTTTTCTCCTCTTTTGTGGTGAACTAGAGAACAAGCAGAAGATCATGGCTTACCTCCTTAAACCTAATGATGTTGGGATGTTTCAGTGATCTATGGTTAATTATCTCACGCTGGACATTCTCGTCTATCTGCACAACAGAACAAACAAAATAAGGCAACCAGGTAGTCACAACTATTAGAAGGGGAGCCTTGGCGCAGTGGTAAAGCTGCTGCCTTGTGACCATGAGGTCATGGGTTCAAGTCCTGGAAACAGCCTCTTACAGAAATGTAGGGAAAGGCTGCGTACTATAGACCCAAAGTGGTCGGACCCTTCCCTGGACCCTGCGCAAGCGGGAGCTACATGCACCAGGTTGCCCTTTAGGTAGTCACAACTATTAAGGATTTGTATTTAAGAAACAAGCCAATGTCTAAATATTTATACAATGGAGGAACATGTTCACGCTACCACCCCACATACTCACCATCTGGAGTTTCCATCTACACGAAGCTCAAATGACTCGACTAGTGATGGTGGATCACAAATAATATCAGGCCATGAAGCATGTGCTCACATATGAGCTTTATGGAAAGAAAACCCAAGAGGACCAGGGAATTAGCCAACCTATCAGTTCAAATGTCCTTCCAGAAAACTAACGGACTTTTGCTGATCCAATATCCCGAAAGAGAACCTTCTTTTAGTAAACTTCCAGGAAATGACCACAGCAAGTAATGGTATAGAAAATTATTGCTCACCACAAAAGCATTGCCTGATAAGCTAACTCCAATCATGGATATATGATACAGGGGGATCCAACTTATGGAAAGTTATTGCTCGCCACATAAGCGTTGGCCGATACGCCAACTCCAATCATGGATATATGATATAAGGGAATCAGACTTGGGCATTTTGTACCAAGAGAAGTAGCAGATTCTGGACTTAGGTAGGATCAGATTCTGGGTTCAGTGTAGAGTATTAAGTGCCTTTTAAGGTGGGAGTCTAAACATACTTGTCTAGTGATCTTTTTCAAGCTTATAACACTACAACCTCTTTCAACGGGCAACAGTTGATTGAGAATCTTCTTTTTTGCGATGCTTAATCATATTCATATTCCACATTCCAACTACAATATGGTATGATATACTTAAAGTATAAGTGAGAATAGGCCACCAAACCCAATCGTGCTAGCTATTCCTCCTCCTTTGCCTCAACAAGTGTATTATTTATTATGAATAATTTCTTGTCTCAATTGTCTAAAACAGGTAGTTTCCTGTCCCCAATAAGTGTTGCTACTGACATTAAGGATGCCATACATGGATGTACCTACATTGACTTATGCATGGGATAAGAGTAGTGGAATAGTTCATAGTGACAAGAGTTACACAGGGACACTCGCTGATTTGAGTATTAACTAATTACTTGGACCAGAAAATACTTGGCTGGGCCCCCTCAGTTGGTCAAATATACTGGCATTAAACTTAATCTGATCAATTGCATGTGCTGTAACCACAAGCAATTAGATAAACATGGATGGTCAAATGATCATGGGTCAAGGGATCATTTGCTGAAACAACAGGGTGGCAATTGTTTACCTTTCTTTACCATGCAGGCAGAAAAATGTAGGGGTTATTTCTAAATGAGGAAAGCTGATGAGTAAATTACAAAAGCAAAAAAAATACTAGTTTTAGCATTTATCAACATCAATTTGACTTGTGAGTGTATTTTACAACTTTTCACAACCATGCCACTCCTAGACATCACTACATCCACATATTTCTACTTAGAAACACCACGTTTACTGAATACACCTAAAGGGATCTTTGCCCATATGGAGTTTTATTTTCTTTGAAAAACAGACAATCACGGCCCCTAACAAGCGCACACACACGCACACTCATGACTGAAGACTCAACAGGCTGTCACCTAATACTAGGAAAACCCCAAGGGTGTTAGTAAGGCACATAGTCGATCCCAGGAATTGATCCCTCTCCAATAGGAAGCACACTCCACTGACCAACCAAGCACCGTTCTCCATCAAGTAGATGGAGATTAGTTTGCTATATTTGAAAAGTTATTTTGGAAATTACGGCTGCAGCTGTACCTTGCATTTAAAGATAAATATGAGTCAGTGGATCCAGGATCGAACCCTGGCGGGTGGCGTGTGCATGCCCGCATGACCAGCCAACCGGGGTATATCTTGGTACTTTCAGTCTACCTTTTAATTTTATCGGCATTTGGTGCAATGCTGTCCTGGATGTCTCATTACCACTAATTATGGCATATCAGAACAAAACCGAAGCACCCACAGAACTACTAGAGCAGTTCCTTTTTCGAAAAGGAGGGTACACCCCGGCCTCGGCATCGATCGATGCACGCATAGAGGTCGAAAATACTAACTATATCACATGAAATAGGTAGAAGTATCTACATCCAATAATCACAGGCAATGAAGATAAACCTAAAACTTAACCAAGCAATTCAGTCCTTGAAACAGAAGTATGACTCCTAATAATTCACAGAGCGAACAAACGAACAAGCTAGCCACTCAGCATCAACTGATTCAGCACTAAAACTACACCATCTGAATCGAACAGGTCCTAATCAGCTAGAGCCTCCCGAATCGGCCGCGATTCAGCACATGGGGGGCAAACAGGCTGGTCAAACAGCGCCGAATCGAT